TCGTAATTTAATTATTTATTTACTTTTTGTTCAATGGCAACTTTCTTTGGACATGCAGCTATCTGCAGTATTGTGATGGCTCATTTTTCTCCTTGACCTTTTTGAATATTTGAACACAAGCTTTCCCTACCTTTCCTTAGCAAAGAGTTTTCAATTGTTTAGGATTAAGACTAAAGATTTAAGAAATACTTTATAAATCCACAAGGGGAAATTACATTTGTCCCAACCCTGACCCTTTTCACTCTGTTGTTATTGACATGACATCACACACATACTTTAACCACACTCTATTCATGTTTTGGTAGCCAAGTGCATATACTGGTATGATAATTATATTCTGATTCTGATTCTGATAACTGTTTGTTTTTTTTAAAAAATCACATGACTGAATGTTAACCAGGGTTTTCAGTCATTAACACTTTGGTTTAAAGCATCAAACTCATTCTAAACAACTTTTTAAACTATTTATTGGAAGCTGTGGGGAATTAAAGCAGAAGACATGAGCGGAGAAGTATTTTGCGTTGGCTCTTTCCTGAACTTCAGTTTTTGGTGCTCCCATATCAACTGCTGAACTGGATGGTTAACTTTCTGCTGAGAAACATTTGACCTTTGTTATAACAAAATAAACAATCCATGGAATCACACGGCTAAAAATCGATAGTTCTCTTGCAGCTGCTGTGTTGCAATAATCAGATACACTTACACAAGATACAGAATTGTTGGGACACTAACACCCATACCATACATGTCAATCTGAATTAAAAGCTTGAAATAACACAAGATAAAGATTACACAAGATGATAAGTGAAAAACAAGTTAAGGTTTAGCAGCCGAAAGAAGTGAAACTTACTTACAGAACTTTGTGTTCCAAACCAGAAGTCATCATGCCAATGGCAATGATCTTGTTATTGACTGATTCAACATGATGTTTTGTGTCAGAGAACAACAAACATGACATGGTTCTGTTACACGTTGGTAGCTTAAATACAAATACAAAATATTTGAGATTATGCAAGGGAAGGCCATGTGGCAAGACCAACCTGGTCTCACCAGAATGCGTGACTCCACCACGACTCCTTAACACCGCAGTGCGTGGTGGAATCACGAACTTTGCTACATTTACGTGTCTGCACCACGCAAACAACCCCAATGTAAAGTGAATGAGGCTCCTTTGTCCTTAACCCTAGCCCTGAACAGCTGTACGCCAATTATGGGATGTCATCATATGCCGTTGCCATGGTGACAGATCCCTCGCCATGAAACACAGTGTTGTCATAACTCGATGGAAAATGGTCCAAACTGCACCAGACTTCAGATGACAGTTAATGGTCCGGCCCTCAACACATCAATATGACAATAGTGAGTTTTCCTCAAAAGCTGTTGCCATGGCAACGCATCCCTCGCCGTTAAGTACGATATTGCTATAACTCCTGTGTAAATGGTAAAAAGTGTTCAAATTTCCCATGTGTGCTAACCGTCAAGCCCTCGACACACATATATGTGTCAGTTTTGAGATTTCGTCAAATGTCGTTGCTATGGTAACAACATGGTCGCCGTGAAACACGGTTTTCTCATAACTCCAGTTAACATGCTCCAAACGGCCCAAAACGTCACAGGTTTGATAACGATGCAGCCCTCAACACATCTAGGCGTATTATGGGGTGTCATCAAATTCCGTTGCCATGGCGACTGATCACTCGCCATCAAACACAATGTTTATGATACTGCTGTAACTCCCATGTACGTTGTCCGATCGGCCTGAAACTTCCCACGTTTGCCAACGGCCGAGTCCTCGAGACACCTACACACGCACCTCGACGTGCGGACAACAGCCTGCGGAGCGTCGAAGACCCGCTCAATGCTGCTTGCAGCTTTAATTATTATTATTATTATGTTTTTTTTTTCATCACAGATGGTTGGGAAGCCAGTTGCGGTCCAGAATGCAGCTGACACTGGTGTTAAGAAATGTTATATCCTACCCGTATATGTTTTTAGTTAAACAAATCAGCTTATTCTGGATTTTTAGCAAGATAATTTAACTTTTTTTGTGGAAGAAAACGACTATGCATCTTGATTTTTTTTTTTTTTTTGTATGTATGATGCATTTTATAAATATATCTCTTAATGACTAAACCACACAGCAAAAGAAGTAAAAACACACATGGTCTTCTAATTTAAACATACTTTAGGTAAACCCCAAAAACGATTACAAGTTACAACTGAAGTCTGTGTAATCTGACATTATGTCCACCTCCTGTACTACTGCTGAGTATTGTGCCATCCCTCAGCCATTTATCATTGTGTATATGTTTATAATCTTGTTGTTTCGTCCACACTGTACACTCACAAGACATGTCAGACTACTCCGAACTTTTTCTCTAATTGAAATCACTGTTTTGTTCTTAAATGATTGATGTTATTTGATTGTGTAACTGCGACCTCAGCTTCAGGCTTTTAACATGTCTCTAAATCAATTACAGATCATTTAAAATCAATTGCATCATTTTATATTTTCCTTATAATCAATACATTTCTTTATGTGAAAGAAATCTAACAATTAAGTTGTTCAGGTATCGTCTTTGCAGCCTAACACAGTACATACATAACATTACATTTAGCTGATGCTTTTATCCAAAGCGATATCTATACAAAGTCAGAACAACAACAAACATGTACGTATATTAACTTCAATTGATTTAATTGATGGTGCATATATGACCTGCGTTTTAAGTGTAAACTTTGGAAAATAACATGCATCTTAATGTTTCTAACAGTTGGTTAGCAGGCTGTTATACAGAATACTTTATAATTAATTTGTTCTATTTTGGTCTTTTCATAAAAATGACTGCTGATAATTTAAGAATACCATAGTTGCAGTCTTACCTTTTGAAAAGCAATAATGTAATAATGACAATAGATAAGAAATAGCGGATAATTTTCTTACCTTAATTTCAAGCCAGCTTCGGTAATTTAGCTGTGCTCACTCTCACTGTGGTTTCCATCTCTCCTCCTCACATTCTTGTGCCTAACTCCTTTTGGCCCCTGTGCCCTCCCCTCGCTGTCACATGGGCTCATGGCAACATGGTCGGTGTAAACACGTTCAACTCCAGAAGCAAACCATCCGAACCTAGTTCAACTCCTCGCACCGCTGCTTTTATTCTCACATGTTACACAGAATTCTAATGTATCCAGCTTTTAAGCAGATTACTGGAAGTCATGCCCAACACATCAGGAGTTGGTACCAGTTTTTCAGGGCACTTTGGGAAACTTTGGCCAGAATAGACTTGCTTCTGTACCTCTAAAAATGCACTTTATGCATTTGGCCTCAAATGTGTAAACAGACCCCCAATTATTATTACGCAACGGGGCAGACACAGTTTGCCTGGCAGAGTTGTCAGTCTTTTCAAAAGGGGCCCCTTTTTATTGTGACACTTGGGTGCTTTGTACACCAAGAACTTTTAATTACAACTTGCACAGCTGAGCAGGCTAAAATGTTGTTGGCTTAATCTCTGAAGCATGTGTCTAAACTGAAGGGGCCATTTCTTAAATCTTAATGCACCTCACGTGCTAACATGCAATGGAGTCTCTTACAGGATCATGAGCTTTAGCTATGTTAACTTGCTGCTTCCACATGCATAGATGTCTGGTTAAACAATATTATGCAACAAAACCAGATAACTGATAGTCATAGGAATATATCATGATGTTGTTTGAGGTTTAAGGAGGCATTAAGGACAATCAAAGCAAGTATTTATAAATATTTTACATCTGATAAAAAGCCAACTGAGAATATTAAATTATGAGGATAAATATAATTTACAGCTATACATTTGAATCCTAGTATTCCTAGAAAATCCTAGAAAGATCAGATGTAACTGATCCAAGCATTATGTTGAATATCACCATCTAAAAGTTTTTCCCATTCAGGTGAATCAATTGTGTAAAAGACAATCAAAGTATTCCGATATGCAGTATGTCTGTGATAGTTCCATAACCCTATTGACACATTAAAACTTGTGGACAGCATTTGGAAAACCTAATTGTGTGAGGAAACACACAAGAAATCCCTGGTTCTCCCAATTTATTTAATTTATTAAGATGTATTTTTAGACATCATCATTACATGTAATACAGATTGTATTCTGTGTGCAAAAACACAACTATTTTTTTTTACTGCTGGATTGATGGACTTTTTCCGTTGCACAGGTGAGAAAGTCATGACAGTAAAGGTCAAAGGCCCCGACATGGTGTCTAAATATTACATGAGAAAGTGTATGTGTTATCATGTAATTTAAAAGGACATAACACAGCCCATGTTCCTCTCTTTCCTATTCAAATTAGACAAATAATTCCTGATAATACATTCATAAGTACATGTATTGGGTGCTGCAGCAGGTTTATATGCAGTGATGACTTGCTGCAGAAGCTATTTAAAGGTCCTATGGAGGCAAGTGTAAAGCCATGAATGGTGGGTGGGGGAGGGCAGCCATAGTGAGCCAGGCCACCATCTGGCCTCAAAATCATATGCTGCAAGAAGAGCTTAGTTATTGTAACACACTGCCCTGTTTTCAATGACCATCACACTTTAACAACATGCATTTTGCTGCTAATACCAGAGAATCGTGTTTGCATGACAGATATTTCAGGAGCATGTCACATCAAATATACTTTTATATGTTTCGTCATCACTGATTCACTTGGGACAATTTCACGAAATGCATTTTCCAATTGTTATAATTACAATACAGCAAATATATGTGCATGAATTTGAGTAATAACACCGAAGGTCCTGAGGCTGCTGTGCTTGCAACTTGTAGGAGATAACGGTATATTTTGGTGGGAGAGTCTAAACCCGTTGTCTTATGGGAAATGTAGTTATTATGCCAGAAGCAGCGAGAGCGCTAGCCGGGCTGTGAGTGGTCAAATTACTTCATTTCCCAGAAGGCCTTGCTTTGATGCGCCTGCGCTGTTTATGTTTTTCAGTCCATGTGTAGGCGAATCACGTGTAAAGAAACCGTTGATCGTCATGTCTCTGCTGTAGGAAAGCTCCGTGCTAGATTTTATTATTTGCCTCCAGTTGTCGCTGCACTTTGTTTTGACAGCTGCTTGCTTTCTTTTTTCGTACCAGTTCACCGAAGAATGAGCGAAAACGATGACATCGACGTCGACAGCGATGTATGTGGTTTAGTTTCCTCGAGAAGTAGCTAGCCAATTTGTTAGCCAACAGCAACTTTAACATTCCTGCCAACCTACGATATCTGATTGAGCTAGCTAGCTAGTTAGCTTGCTGGGTTTCATATTTATTACTGGATTTTAAGACTAATAGGAGGTGATCTTTTTTACAAGAAGTGTTTTTTCAGTAGCAACTGACTCGCTGGCTTGTAACATAAAGTCGAGCAGTGAGTCTGGTGAATATGTTCCGTGGTTTTACTGCGGTCAAGTGAGTTGTCGTTTGCGAAACCAGTTAAGCCAGCCATCGTTTAGATCTGGTTGCTTATATAATAGTGCAATTACGGTACAGGTGCTGGGAGCGGCCAAAAAGGACTTACGTGCACATATTATATTACACATCATTTAATGGAAAATGTGATCAAATGTGTATTTTATGTGTTGTTTACCTCCACTGTTATACGTAATGTAATGCATTGACACTTCCCTTAATTTTTTACAACGACAAGTAATGTTTATAGGTTTGCTGTACATCCCAATAGATGTCTGCTCAGAATTCAAAGAAGATATAGAAACATATATAATGTTGATTCTCTTAGCTGTGCAGTTCTGGAGAGAACATAACGTTAGACGAAAGGTCACATCCAAACTGCTTATTAACTCAAAAGTTGAACTCTAATAAACAACTGTACATTAAAATACTATAATTCAACAGTTAAGGATATTCTCAGCAGACGAGGAAAGCAAATGTAGTATGATAATTGTTGTTGTTGTTGATTATATTACTTCAAAGATAGTGAAAGTTCCCCATGCAATTCAATACGTAACTACTTTTGAAGTGGATTTATATTTCAATTTTAGTTTTTCCTCCCATACCGTTGAATTAGGGATGTGGAAATTGAGTGTTTATTGTAGTTAGCGTAACTTTCAAGGTTTTTAGCGAGTCTTTAAACGTCCATCATGGCCGCTCCAAGCAACCTCGGCGTAACTGCATGAATACAGGCGCAACACACCCCAAACGGCGGCTGTGCGAGAAGGACCCCAGAGACAGTGTTGATGTTTTCGTGTGTTGTCGATTAGCAACATGCCAAGTTCACCTGTTCTGTTCCTGCACATATCTGGGCCTTTTTAAAATGTGTTTTCCTAATGCGAGAATTAAGCACTGCTGCATTATTTAAAGCTGCATTTGAAGCATACTTGCCAAATGCAACATAGCACATACTGTACAATGTACATGCTGAGTTAAATGCCCCGTGGTTTACACACAGCTGCTTTTAAATTGCATATAAAGGTGCCATAGGGTTTAAATTGAGTATGCATATGATTTTGTGTCAGATTCTCGATCTGGTCACATATTTCTCACAGCCATGGATTCCCCTCCCCCCTTTGATTAAGCTGTGATCTCCAGCTTGGGATCCTCTTAAAGCCACACTATACATAACATGCTGTTAAACCCACGTTTATCAACATTTCTAACGTTACAGGATAGATTAAACCTTGATACAATTAAAGATATGGTTTTAGTGTTGCTCAGTGCAGAACTTACTGTAAGAGAGGTCATTTGATCACGTTATGTTTTCACAATCATTGGCAGCGCTTATGAATGACATGCATGCAGCTACACATGTACATTTAAATATATATGGTGTTTCTTCCTAATAGTATACATTTTATTGTATTTGACCTGGAAGATTGTTCTTTACATTCAAGGTGCCTTAATGATACACAAATCAATGCCAAGTTATAAAGCTATTGCCAAAAAGCCATCAGGTAAGTTAAACCCCTCCACCAAAAAAGCAAGCATTTTATGACTTTCTCTGGAAGATATTGGTTCTGTTCAGTCCTTTTGAAATAGCGGGGAGAAGTTAGACGTTGGAGTTCAAATGTAGTTCTCGTGAAGGACATTTGGTAGACAAAACTGACCCATGTATGCTGTTCCAACCTTTAAACAATGCCACATCTTTAGTTAACGTTCTGTAAACACATCCCCTCCCTGTAAACAATATGCTCACACCACAGGTCCCTGCTGTATGATGACGAGTATAACATAAGAACACATAACACGTTTTGTACCACTACTCATTCTGCTTGAGTCCAATTCAAAGCTGAAACATTTGTATATTGACATTTTTGAATAGCTCTGTCTTTCTTCTTGGCCAGGTCACTCTTGGAAAAGAGATTTTAATCTCAATGAGTCTTTTTACCTGGTTAAATAAAGGATATATATATATCCAAACTCACATGGGAATGACTTCCTTGGTATTATCTTATGAGTTTTTGAGTATATGAGCTGCGTTCTGATTGTACACTTTGCCTCTCCATTTATAGGCAGACAAGCGAGCCCATCACAACGCGCTGGAGCGCAAACGCAGGGACCACATTAAAGACAGCTTTTCCGGTTTACGAGATTCTGTGCCTGCATTACAAGGGGAGAAGGTGAGAGGAAAATATATGCATTTTCTCTACCAGAAAAGATGTTGAATCTGTTTTTAAGGTAAGCTCTCTATCTCAGGGCACAGCAACCTAGTTCTCATAAACAACTTTTAGATTTTCTTGTCAGTGTCACTATCAGTTCGTCGGCCTTAAGGCTAGCTAACTATTTGCATAACCTGAACTGCATGTCCTAAGATATAGGAACACAAACAGATGAGAAACTGTCAGGAGGGGGTGTGTTTTCTCTAGATTAACCACATTAGCCATACGAAACTCTAGCAGTTAAATGATTTATAAATAAACATACAAAGCTATTTGTATGTTGTTAAATTATTTCTAACTGAATGATATTATACTTAAAGGATGACAGTGTGAAGAATGGGTAGTCGAGGTTGTCGCAAGTAGACGCACCTGCAGTTAAAATTATTAACAAAATGATTAGTTTTTTTTATACCGAACATAGTGAAATATGCCAGTTCTGATGTGTTAACGCTCACAGCCTGTAAACTTGTTATGCACAGGTAGGGGCTTTTTCATAACTGCCCCCACCTGACCTGTTATAAGAGCCAATCTGCACCGCCCAGGCCACAACAACATGTCTTAATCAAACACCAGAACCTGACTCCACAAATATCCAAAAACAATAGGCCTGCTTACCACTCCAACAGTATATAACAAATTACAGCCTAATAATGACAGCTTAACCTTCTCTATATTGCCTCGTTCACACAATAAATCAACAATACAAATACAACTACAGATTATATAAGCATTTAGTTCAAATGCGATTTAAAATGCTCTCAGGTTTTACACCTCTTGTGAAATGTAGACTACATTTATTACGGAGTTTATGTCCGAGCCAACAGACTCACAGATCGTTGGCTACTGAGAGATATGCAAAATACACCGCATGTAGTACGACACAAAACTCCGCTGTGGATTTTCAAAACTAAATACAGTAAAACTATGGCCGCAGGCCCAAGTTTAACTCTCTGAGGTCGAAGCCCTTTTTTCACATGTTAGGCTCGCCTGGGCTTTTTTTGTAAAAATGCTATTAAAACATGAACCTTGGTGACCATCGGGCTGGCCTGCATGGTCTGCCTACAAAACAAAAATAAAAAACCTTTATGCAGCCCCAACAACAGCCTCTGATCATCAAGAGACTTCATGCAATGCTTCATTGGATGCATATTAGATAGTAATCTCTATCTCACTCCTAAAACATCTAAATCCACTTCCAGCATGGATAAATATTCATAAAATACATCCATTGTTTGTTCTATATGCTTCTCGAAATCCTAAAAAACACATCGTTTTTCTAGAACAGATTACAAATCGCCTGAAAATGGTACACACAAGTGGCAACATGTGTGACGAAGGTGTTGGCAGGGGTCGCCAGTCTCTGGCAGTGTTATTTTGGGGGTCGCGGGCTGAAAAGTTTGGGAACCCCTGATCTAGACGACCAGTGGGTGAAAAGACAGCTTCCTTCATCTTGCATTGTCATAGTTTCTGACTTTCCAGCTCATCACCTGCAATTCCAAGTCCTTAATATTCAACCACCTAATCAGACATTATTCCAGTTGCACACTTAAGTGTCAATGTTATACTATTGTGTTCTGCTTGGACAGCTTTCTTAGAGGGCTTTAATAGAGGAATGAGAAAGTAATAATCAACCAAACAATCTTTATCATCCACAAATGTGTGAATTGGCCTTTTGGCTTCATAGGTGGATTAAAACACTTATTAAGTCACAATACATACAACAAATATATCAACATGCACAGGACAAACAGTAAATCAGGGGCTTATTTTAGAAAAGTGCTTGCCAGCAAAGCCACCTATGTGTCAAATAAGCTCACACTAGTTTCCCCTTAATGATGAAATCTGAGATCTGAAATATTGCCTCATGTCCTCAGTGTACTATTACAGACTGAAGGCAGCAGCTCTATAACCTTTTAGCACCTAGCCCACCGTAACCAAGAGACATTTGTTGGTATAGTCCATTTTATCAGTAAATCATTATTAGCAGGTGCAGCAGACATTGGCATAATTCATTGTGCAGTTGGGATGGTGCTTTATCATGGAGGAAATGTGTGTATTTGTGCTAGGAAATATTCTGCAATATGTCATTGTTAGCGCCAAAAGGTTGCTGACCCTTTGGAATAGTCATGTTTTTCTATCCTTATTGTATTATCCTTATTAAAAAGTCATTGCAACTGGGGATGTCAATGTTTAAATACAAATGTTTTTTAAAAAGTGGTTACAGATGATGTGTTAAATTAACATTGCAAAATAAATTTCAGCTCATCTAAACAGATATAGCGCGTCAAATGTAATTGATTCATGTAGCTCTGGAGTAAATGTAAAGTGCCTTTTCTATTTCACGTAATTTTGCCTTATTATTATTTTTCTTTTAATCAACCGATACAAATATTTGTTAATGCGTGTCGGCTATCGAAAGCAAAATGAGCTGAACCTGCCATCCCCAGTTGCAACATACATGTGTAACACTGATCACTGTATAACTGTTTTGGCACAATTAATGTTGTTCTGTTGAACAGACACTGCAGCTCTTTTCCCACGGCTCTCTGAATTTTTGCTGACAGAGTTCTGTCAAACAGGCTTCCCGAGCACAGATTCTAGACAAAGCCACCGAGTACATCCAGTACATGAGGCGAAAAAACCATACCCACCAGCAAGACATCGATGACTTAAAGAAGCAGAATGCACTGTTAGAGCAGCAGGGTACGTGGACGAACGGTTTTGTTTGTGTATTTGTACGACAGTATTCGACTGGATCTAATGTGTCTTTCTGTCTCTGGTTACTGCAGTTCGGGCTCTGGAGAAGGCGAAGGGGAACACTCAGCTCCAGACGAACTACTCCTCTGACAGCAGCATGTACACAAACCGGAAAGGCAGCGCGGTGTCGGCCTTCGACGGCGGCTCCGACTCCAGCTCTGAATCAGAGCCGGACGAGCCTCCCAACAGAAAGAAGCTGCGCGTGGAGCCCAGCTAGACCCGGGTCGTTTCCCGGTTCTCCAAACAGACTCTTTTTGCCCACCAGCCCCAACTCCTCTCACCTGTCCACACTGTCCTGCCTTCAAACGGCAGTCCAGGAGACGAGGTGGAGACTGTGTGAGAGCGGTGCTGTTATGTATAAAACGCTTCTACCTTCCTTTCCCTCCTGGCAAGCATCCTGTCACTCCGTTTCGTGGCCCAGCAACAACTTTTAAATCCCAAAAGTGAGGCAGCTCTGCAGTTTTGAAGAACAATATGCTTTTTTTCAGACCACATGATAACCATTCATAAGCAAATGTGGAGACAACAAGGTATGAGGCTTAGATAAAGCTAAAGAAATTATAATACATTTGTTTTTGTTTTCTCTTTCGGTTGTTTTAGACAACCTCTGCAATCTGTGAGAGTGTGAGACTTTTCAACCTTTAATGAAATGGGTAATTAGGGATAGTTTACCTTTTTAATAATCAAACTTTTCCAGAAAAGAATGTGAAGTTGCTTTTGAAAAAAAAAGAAGTCTGTTATACAAAGATGCAACCCTCCACTCAGTGTAGGTGGCTGAAGTTTTTGTCTTTAAAAGATGTTTGTGTAATTGAATTAATCCCTCTATTTATAGTAATGCTTGGAAATTGATGTGTTACCCTCATGTCTGATCTCCCTTACGTTTGGCTTGAGTTTTCCCAGAGAGCACAGGAGGATGAATGAGTTGACCTGCTGTTTCAATGAATTTCCCACAGGTTCAACTATTTATTTTCCTCTATTTTTATTAGTATCAGATAAAATATCAATATGAAAAAAAATCCCCTAATGGATACTGAATGTTACGCAAGGGCAGCAACCTTTATTTTTGTTATTGAAAGTCCATTTCAGTGTGTAGTATATAACACTGTATACTCTTTAATGGTGTCAGTTCTGCAAAGAAAAGCCTTCCCTTGAAATATTTGCCTGTGTTGGGAATGTTTATCTTTCTTTTCTTTCCTTTACGCAGAGGTAACTTAGTGTGTACGTAATCAATATTTGTTTGTTCCATTCCATGGAAATTACAGGTATGTTGTACATACTGCCAACGGTTGTCTTGCAAGTTAAGGCATACCTTTATTATGAGACTATAAATAAAACTATTTTATCCTTTTGGGATGTATTTGTGCCTCAACATGTTTTTAATTATCATCTTATGATCTTATTAAGCTTACTTAATTGCTAAACACGTTTGGGGTTTAACTAATTTCCAATCCCAGTTTATAAAATATTCCTGTGTCTAGTCATATTTAACGTACTGCTTATAGAATGGAAGCAATCAAAAAGGATAATTTAGTGGACTATCAGAGGATATAAAAGATTTCTAGAACACTATACTTTAATTGGGGTGTCAAGAAACAGATTTCTTAGTTTTTATACGCAGTTTCAGATTTTAAATTGACATTAGGAGCAACAGAACACTTGCGCCTGTATTCAGTCTACTACTGAAGACACCGCTAATATTCTTTGTAATATTTCATGGAATTTGGGGAATTAAATGACATTGGATTTCACATAATTTATACTTTACACACAAAAGGTTTTGCTAAATTAATAACATTAACAACCAGGAAGAACAGAATATTATTGACAAACGTTTTATGTTTGCTAGTGTAGAGGAACAATATAAAAAAGAGAATGTGAAAATACAACAAAAACACTTACAAAATAGAAAAAGGCTTTTGTCTGATGTATAATTGTTCTGGGTGGGGGGGGTGGTGGAGAGACGTTGTGTGTATTAGGTCTCATTACCTACGTGTTGCTAATACCTGTCTACAGCTCTGTATAAATTATAGTTCAAATATAGATGTTTGGGATTAGCTCATTGATGTCTCCTAGGACCTAGTTGACAGGAGGCTTCTTTAGAGATACAGGTAATATGCTGCCTTCAGGAGCCGTAGGAAATAATGCATAATGTCATGAGTTTTTTACGCAGTTTTGAGACTGGACGAGAAGTTCGAAGACCTAAACAAAAGAAGCTAATCTTATGCATTACAACTGTGGAGCTAATCCCTTTATATATATATATATATATATATATATATATATATATATATATATATATATATATATATAAAAAAACAAAAACGTGGATTAAACATAGACGTATAAAACTATACGTCTATGTTTAATCCACGTTTTATTTTTTTATTCTACGTTTTTTCCCCCATAGTTTTAAACCAAGCCTAGTCGCTAAACTACAATGTTCTATATTACAAAGCAACTGGCTTCTTTAAAATGAGATGAGTTGTGAGTTCTCACTGCCAATTTAAGAAGTTGGTATTTTCCGAGCGTCCCTGAACGCAGCACGCAGCCACAGTGCACTGCACTGCACACAGCTCGATGGAGGAGTCATGCTTTCTTCTGTTTTAGTTTTATGTCATGGCTAAACAGTACGATGTCTTGTTCAGGCTGCTCATGCTCGGGGACTCGGGGGTCGGGAAGACGTGCATGTTGCGCAGGTTCACGGAGAGTGAATTTGATCCTTCACATATTTCCACCATCGGTAAGAACATCCAACAAGTTTTTCAATCGCCCTTGTTTCTAAACTCATCATATGGGTCCGCATTAACCGCAGGTTAAAACCGGATAAAATGTCACAGAATGAATGGAGAGGCTGCAATTTGTAACAATAAACTGTCATTTTCCCTTTATTTAAAAGTGTTTAAACAGGCCTAATTAGCTAGTGGTATAGTAAGTTAGTAACAAGTGCCTCAGGTCATACTAGCCCTTTAACTGGATGAAACAAACTGTCAGTGCTATGAAGGCTCCATTAACAGTCATAAAATATTTACATTTTGTAACCGATATATGCCCCTAAAGAAAGATACTGAAGGGTGCAGGAGAGGCTTAAAAAAGCTGTTATGTGACAAAAACAATAGAAAGGAATTTCCACAGGAAAAGAGCACTCTCTGCCCTCAAAGTGTTTGATATTATATCCTGTTTTGTATTCAGAAAATGACACTTGTACACTGATAAGCCCATTAGTGTGATAAACTAATGACATGAAGAATAATGTTTGGGGTGTTTTCATAGGAAAAGAAAACAAGTATTTTACTCTACTTTGTAGGCTTTTAGTTTGTTGCAAGAGAAAGTGGTGTGTGTGGAGTGAATTCAGGGTGAGAGGTTTGTGAACTGCACGCTGGAGAGCTGGGTCACAGGAGAGCTTTACATGGGATTATACCCAGACATTTGAAAGTATGGCACATGAAATCTCCTTTCTTTTAGACTCATGATGTCGTGATTATCAGTAAACATTAGTCTCCCTCATCTGTTCCCTATTTCTCTTAGGCATCAGTCTGTGGGAACACTGACACACAGGTTGAAAAGACCTGTTGCATTCACGGCTTTGCAGTTACATAAGCACACACACGTAAAGCAACAATGGAACTGTGTTAATCACAAGCTTGTGTCAGCGTTTCAAATATTTGTTTCAGGAAATGAATCTGCACACTTTCCTGGCTCACTGTCTGGGACACAAGAATAAAACAGCCGTTTTGACAAGACTGCTGTAGATTAACAGTTTTTTTAAAAAAAAGCCAAATATTTGTTTAAGCTTCTCTACTGGAAGGCTTTTCTACTTTACTTTGTTTAGTGGGACAGTTGACTGTAAACCTCTGGGATTTGGATGGCAAAACAAGCTGACACTCTTCTTTTAGTGTCTGGTAATTCAATTGTCACAACCTATTTTAGTTGCTTTTTGTGAGTTGGTTTATATGTAACTGATTGTGTTAAATGGGCAAATCATATTGTCTTATATTGATAGCAGGCTCCTAAATTAAACTGTCCAATGTCATATTGTGTTTATGTGGCCTGAAAATGGAAATCAATATTTTTATAGAATGGAATCTGTATATATACAATTCATTTTAAGGTCACCTATTATTCAAAATCCACTTTTTCATGTCTTTCATACATAAATCTGTGTAAAGAGATTCTGAAAGTTTGTGATGCCATAATGTTTTTTTGGCTTGTGTAACCATTAGCCAATAACCGTCTAAGGCAGGGGTGTCAAACTCAAATACACAGTGGGCCAAAATAAAGAAATCGCTACTAGTCGAGGGCCGGACTGGTTCAATGTTTATTGCAAAACTTATTGCACATATTAAACCTGGAACTAACAAAGCTTAAATTATTGCCTATAAAAACAACATTAAACATTAAATAATCAGTTGCATTCATTTCTTATGGCTCTATCTGCAGATTTTCCGGAGTCATTTCTTATGATTACATTTTTCCACAGACCAACAACAGCTTCAAAAAAACAATTTCCCTCAAAGAAAAAAACAAACATGCAGAAGGAAACATCCATTAAACTCAGTTTGCTGCTCTGTGACGCTAGTTCAAGCCAGATACTTGGCATCTCATCTTGGGTGCAAGTTCATCAATGTTTGGGGTCAGGCTCTGAGCTGAGGAAATCCTCAGGATTGAGTGAAGGTGTGCGTGCAATATACTGGTGGGCCAGATCTAATAGTAATTCAAAATTATCCTGCGGGCCGAAATTAAATCCACCAAGGGCCTGATTTGGCCCCCGGGCCTTGAGTTTGACACATGTGGTCTAAGGGAACACCCGCCCACCTTATCACCTGAATCTCCTCCTAGAGCACCATTGTGTTTTTTTTAACCAATCATCTCTCAGAGGGGCGTGGGGAGTGGCACCTTATTTTCATCTAAAGTAAAAGACAGAGAATCAGCACTTTTGAAACAGTGCTGAAACAGAGGGGATTATGGGATGCTACAATGCATGATCTGTTTGGTATTTCGAGCCAAACACTTCAGAGATATGTTTTGTATATATCTGAGACCTATAATATATTGATGAAAAAGAGTATAATAGGGGACCTTTAAGAAGATAACACATTATACTGTCTGACTTTCTGTCACATTTCTTACCTTTCTTGTCCTGTTACCCGGCAGAAAAAAGCACATTCGTAGTTATCATCAGTTTCAAGCCCCTTGTAAAGACACAATGATTTAAAAGGTGTCACTCTGCAGTGCTCGAGAAACTATTCATTAGGGATAATAGTGTTTCTGAGCCACACTCCTTAAGTGCTCACCAACGCCCATTTAAAATAGCGTTTTAAATGAAAGCAGGATTTCTCACCAATCTTTTACCTTTGCTAAAGTGATTCAACTTGCTTCTGTTATGTGCTGTTGATTACATTTGTGTGTGACATAAAACATAATTTCCCTCTTTTTGTTGTAGGAGTCGATTTTAAAATGAAAACACTAGAACTAGATGGAATCAGGGTGCGAGTACAGATATGGTAAGTCATCCAATGCATTGACACACCGTGCGTATCGTGCGATCTTCTGCTGATTTAGTTGTTGTCTTGGGTACAGGGACACAGCGGGACAGGAGCGTTATCAGACCATCACCAAGCAGTACTACAGGCGAGCACAGGTGATCCCTCCACATGAACAAGTTACCTCCATGCCTTACTGTGGCGTTCATTGTTTAATCTGTCTTCATTCATTTCTCTCCAGGGTATCATCTTTGTTTACGACATCACTAGCGAGTCGTCCTTTCAGCACCTCATGAAGTGGGCAGGTGATGTGGATGAGGTAAGGAAATAAGTACTCTTCATTTCACTCCCTCGCCCTTCACAGTGACCCAGTATTTAAACTAACCTCTCGGTGCTCTGCTGATGCTCGCTGCACACCGAGTGGCTTAGTGTGAGTGACAGGATGATGAAGTCCCTTATCTCTGTGCTATCTGTCCTTTCTGTCTTGTTGTTGTTTTGCAGTTTGCCCCAGACAAGGTGCAGAGGGTCTTGATAGGAAACAAGTCTGATGAGGAGCTCAGTAGGCAGGTGACCAAGGACCAAGGAAGCAAGGTTTGATTGGGAATGTGTCTATTGATTGAATCTTTTGCATATTACTTACTTAAAGACTCCTGACTTTTCCCTGTGTTTTTTTTAAAAATATCTGTTGTAATTTATTGTCTTTTATTGTGATTGTAGAAATGTGTTTTTATGTGATTGTAGTTATTACATGTACAGCACTTTGGCCCGACCAAAAATCGCTTTTAAATGTGCTTTATAAATAAACTTTGATTTGATTTGATTTGATTTGATTAATAAACAATCATGAAACATATAGAATGTTTAAGGTACTCAAAATCCTCTTACCCAGTAATGTTCGTTTACAGTGTTTTGCTATATATCAAGTATTTAACCTCTAGCCCCAGAGCTTCTTACCTGATGAATAATAAAAAAACACCATTCTCACCATATCACATTATAGATCTAAATTTGGACAATCAGTTAGATTTTTCTATTAGATCTAAGTTAAATGGCATCAAATAAAATACAATTAAATTATCAGTGACCAGGATTAAATAATAGGCAGACATTTCTAAAGCCAGCTAAAACAGTTTTTTATTTTTGCAATTATTTCAAACTATGGTACAGGAATTCTTTATTAACGTAGCTTTCATTACCACTTCATAACATGTGAGTTTTTATTTAATTTAGATTATTATTAAGTGGAGGCAGCCCATCAGCTAATTTGTATGTAGTCCTCATTAACAATATATTGATTGGCCAGTAATACCCACTAACATAATGGTCCTCTTACCAGGGGCTTAATTTAATTGCCTATAAAATGACCTTTTGTTGTATTCATTTCTAACCATATCCACCTGGGTATTGAAGCTAGCAGAAACCTATGGGATGGAGTTCTTTGAGACCAGCGCCTCCACCAGCAGCAACATCAGTGAGGTAGGACACTGAGTGAGGAAACTGTCAGTGTCTGTGCACAAATACTTCGGGGGAATCCCCTGCATCACTCTTTTTGAATATCTTGTGTTTTTATTTTTCACTTCCTTCTTCCTTCAGGCCTTCACTCGTTTGACAGAGCTGGTGCTGCAGGCTCACCACAGAGATGTGGACAACTTGTTAGGAGCTCTGGATGATTATCTGGATAATCATGCTTTGGAAGAAGAGAACGAAAGTGAAGGCACTGACGTCAACACTCATAGGACCTGCGCCTGTTAGGAAGAGGGCCATTACTGTAGCATGGCTCATAGCTAAAGACAATTGTTCCTCATGACTGAGACATGACTCGACTCTTCTCTGCCTTCTTTATAGATACTGTAACCTGTGTGTCAAGAGGGAGCTCATTTGGTTTCACTTTTCATATGTTGGCAGCAGCAACCAGCAGAGGGCGCTTTCTGTTGCATTATCACTATGCCCAACAGCCAGTGAAGAGTAAATACAGGACATATATGTAGCTCTGTATCCAGCTAAAACTATCAATGCACAAGCTCTATTCCTTCTGGTGCACTATTCACTTACATCTATAAATGAATGGGTAATGTGTTTATTTAAGAAATTAGTTTGTTAAGTTGCAAAGAGTCTACATGCTCACACAAGGTAGCCAGAGGACACAGTTTAATTATTTACACCTCGAAACTCAAACCAAGCAGAGTGGATTATTTTACATGATAGACTTATTTCCTCAGGGAAGACAGTGCCATGTTTAATGACCTATTCGAGTGCAGTGCATGTTTGTTCAATTATTTTTCGGGGTCTGCTTTGGTGCCACAGATATGTCATTATACCATTGTTAGACTTGAAACTCCACTCATGTTGCAAACAAAAACCTATCTAAGTTAATAAATTAAAACTGCCATATTTAACATGAGTTGATTGGGTACCTGAGTCTTGCTGAGTTACTACATTTTGGATTGAGAGGGAAGTTAGGTCCTTGGAGAGAAGTTCATACATTTTTCATCAACTGCTGTAAAAAACCTGTTACATTTTTGATGATTGAGAAAATTGATACACGTCAGAGATACCTTGAAGCCTAATACATGATAAAATACATGTTTTTTCCCCATTTTTGTCAATAACCAACTAAGGATAATAATAACATTTGAAAAAAGCCTATGATTAACCGCACATTTGGGTTCATAACATTCTAAAATGGAAACATGTTTCAAAGCTTATCCAAAATACAATAACGCACATTACTGTATTTTAAATCATGCAAAATCTTCTTCATGGACTGATGTTTACAATAACTGACATCCATCTATGTAAAACGTGTCAGGGTATTGTATTTCAGCTGTAGATCAGTTTCCTGCAGAGCCATTTGACACCCATGAAAGGCAGCTTTCTGTACTAGCTGAGTCAGGTGACCAAGCAGTTTGGATACAGTCACACGTTGAGGTCCCATCTGCCTCAGTGAGGAAGCACAGGAGTCGAGATGACGTTCATCGCCAAGACTTTCTACGACCTGAAGGCCACCACGGTGGAGGGGGACTCGGTGGACTTCAACGTCTTCCGGGGCCGGGTGGTCCTGATAGAGAATGTGGCCTCGCTCTGAGGCACCACCACCCGGGACTACAGCGAGCTCAGCCAGCTTCAGAGCAAGTACCCCCATCGGCTGGTGGTCCTGGGTTTCCCCTGCAACCAGTTTGGATATCAGGTCAGTTGAGCAGCATGGTTTGGTTGACCCTACAATATTTGGTCTTTGTATACTGGTTGGCCATAAAGCTCATAAAAAAAAGACTTTATATGCAGATGATGTTTCATTATTCATGTGGAACCTGTCATAGACCTATCAGTGAACTTGTAAAAAACAATAAAAACACCCTATTTCAGTGCCTCTTCTGGGTATTATATTCTTTTTTTTAGATGGCTTTAAACATGAATTTCACAAAATGTAAAAAGTATATTTTTTGTAATTAATAAAAACTGAATCTTTTAATGTTTAAAGTTAAAAAAAATTACATTCTTTACCCAATTTGAATGATTCCAATTATATTCACCATTAAAGTAATTACAACATTATTGCATAGTGTGAAAACTGTAGCTCATATTTTTGTTTTGAGACATCTGTCGTACATTCTTACTGTTTAATCCAGTTGATTCCTGTTATCATCCACATTTAGATGCAAACTACGACCAACATGTCCTCAACAGTATGGAATATGACAATACCTAAATGAACACTTGTGTTTTGCAGGAGAACTGCAGCAATGGTGAGATCATGAATTCCCTGCAGCATGTGCGTCCGGGCGGCGGCTTTCAGCCCAACTTTACCATCTTTGAGAAGTGTGATGTCAATGGGACCAACACACATCCGGTTTTTGCCTATCTTAAAGACAAGCTCCCCTATCCCGATGACGACCCCATCTCTCTCATGAAGGACCCCAAATTTCTGGTTTGGAGTCCTATCAGCAGGACGGACGTCTCTTGGAACTTTGAGAAATTCCTCATCGGGCCAGAGGGAGAGCCCTTCAAAAGATACAGCAAAACATTCCCCACCATTGACATAGAGCCTGACATCCACAGACTGCTAAGATTAACCAAGACCTAAGAATAGCCCCCACCTCTTAATGACTTCTCATCCATCACATTCAAAGCGGATATGCTGAGCTCCACACTGTTAAGCCTTATTAAATGATGGTGATGTTCTGAAAATCCATGGGAATATTACCTGAGGCCTTGTAAGTGCTTAAGAGTAGTGGACGAATCAATTCTACATATGTAGATGTATGTATAATGAATGTTTTAGTACATGTGGGTGAGAAAGGAATGATATAGCCAGGTATTTTATTAGGCATGTCCTATTGTGTCTTGTCCTAGCCTAACCAGCAGATGGTGCTACTGGTTTGATCTGACAAATAGATAACTTCAGTCATGCTTTTATGAATTAACATTCACTACACACACACATACTCTCACAAATTGTTTTCACTGGAATAAAGTCATTACAAACCTATATCCTCTCTCACTGATGTCTTTTTTTAATTGGACCATATAACCAGTGAGGCACCTGCTATGAAGGCATGTGCCTCAAATGCTTTGACAAAAATAGATGTTTTCAGCTCTGTGTGGGCATATTAATGAGGCATGGAATACAGTGGGAAGGATGTGGAACTATATGATGCACAGTGTCAAAAAAAATCATAGGCCTGCATAAAGCACCGTCTAGCCTGCTGATTCCTTCTTTATTTGTTGAGATCTTCTTTCTCCACCAATTCACTCGATGATGCAAGCTAGATTTGCTGACACCAGCGTACACAGCTGCAGGAATGCTTTACAGTTTACAGTGACACTAAAAGACAAGAGTCCTAAATCATGCAACTAGAAGAGCATCAGCCTTGCCACGTTGTAAGCTCTTGCAGCTTAATTTCCTATGCACAGTGAGCATTGTTTGCAAGGTCTACAGATTAGCTGTGGATGTTCTGCACATCCGCTCACATCCACATCAGCTGATGATTTCAGAGCTACAGGCTACACAGGCTCGGCTCTGCTCTAATGTGGCAGGTTGCTGCAGGGACAACAGTGAAACACTCAGTCACCTGACAATGTTTGCAGATAGCCTGTCTCACTGTCTTTGCATATCACATTTAAATATTTGTGTTGTTGTGATACATGGGCACATTTGATTAATATATATCCCACAGGCCTCCTGGTCCTCGGCTGACAGTCAGGTAAGTAATGTTGGCTATTAGAGGCAGCAAATATTGAAGGAGGAATACCAGGGCCTCTCCTCCTGCACTGCTCCCCTGCACACACAGCTTGCAGAATAATACCACCAAAGATCGTTTATGCCATATCGATACATCACTAGTAAAAGTCTTGAAAATTGAGTGTCATTAAACTAATATAGTTGAACAATCTTACCATCATGTCACATGTGTCCAATGTTACACATATTCCAACGTATTCTCTATACCTTTCATTTGGATGCATTGTGTTTTCAAATAACCCGTCATGCAACTGCAGCAACCTCATCTAAAACATAGATAGTTTAATGCTTTTTAAATTAATGATTGATCATTTACAGCCATAGGTCAAAGTTTGCTGGTTCCCAATTAACAATAGACTTTTTTTTTTAAACTATGACGCCACCCGTAGAGGTTCCTCCACCGGAGATCCTAGTGTGTGTGGTTATATTTCATTATTGTCAGTGGAAATATCCAAAATGGGGCAAATAAAGCACATACACGTTGCTCAAATTTGACCATACTTAATGGTTGTAACTGGACCAAGAGAGAACATTATGAAATGTTGGAGTAAAAACTGGACTAACCTCGCAATAGCTTGCAAAGTTTAACTCAGAGTGAGAGCTCTCCATTAACCTCTTCTTTGTCTGAGCACTACAGGTGAGCACTGTTGCCACGGAAACGTTTGCTTTCCCCACCAAGCCTTCTCGCGAGACTCGGGGGCAGAGAGCGAAGGAGAGAGAGAGAGAGGGGGGAGAGAGGGAGGCTGCCTGAATGATCTCATCCCTCCAGCAGCTGCATAGCGCAGCGAGGCAAACCCGTAACTTTCTATCAAACTTCCAAGTTGCCTTTCGGAGGGCGACACCGGAGGGCATTTTCGGTTTGAACTGGCGCGAACACGTTTCCCGTGAAGGTAAGGAGGAGCGCTGCGCAGTTTGTGAGTCGGACTTAGAGGACCTTGTTAGAAACAAAAGGAGGAAAACCCCGCTTCGTGTTGTGTGACATGCAAAAGCTTGAGGCAGAAAAGGTGAGTCGGGAACGTGGTGCTAGCTTTATAGGGTGCTAGTTGTGTTAATGGTACATGGTGCTCTCTTACACTCAACATCTGTCGGCTGTCTGTGGACAAAGCACATCGTTGTGCTGTGTGGAGGTGCAGTGTGGAGCCAGTGCGCAATCAGTGCCAGGGGTTTTCATTAAACTAAAGCGTTAAAGGTGGTAGTGGACTCGGGAAGAAACGTCTCTATCACTGGGGCTGTCAACATATGTATCTGCGGTGTCGTTGCATGTCAAGGGCATTGTTCCCACTGCTTTAGGGGAGACGATGTACAGGTGGCATCGTGACACTACATCGCATGTCTCCTTGTGTAACTGTCACCACCCCTGCTACCCCATTTTTCAGCATGGTCGTACCCTGTGTTTTTGCCATATGAGGAGGGGTTTCAGGCAGGTGATTTCCTGCTTCATCTGCCTGGCAATAAGAGCTCTGATTTGTTTACAGCATTGCTTGGTACATTATGTTGTGGAATAGACTAGACAGATCTGATTGCATAGGTAATCAATATACCATGTTAATGTTAGATATGTACAACATGGGGTCCACTAGTCATGGTCCCCCATGGCAATTTGATCAGATGATACCAAATCTAACCCCCTTTTTCCTGATTAAGTAATGTATTATGTCATATATATACACAACCATGCTTTTTGGTTTCATCATGGTATAAAAGTGATGGTATAGATAGATAATACAGGTCATGGCAACATTACAAATTAGGAAACACTTGGCAATGCAGGGCAACAACACAAACAGAGGTTTGTTTAAATAGTCACAATCAGTGAAGTGTGCCAACCTTTCAAAGTTCAGACATATGCTGTACTGTGTTCAAGACGAGCATACACATATCAGCTGTATGAAACCAGTTACAAAGATGCAGGGAGACAGTGGCTTCAGTGTCTGCTCCAGTAGCTTGTTGGAGTTGGAAAACTTGGCATGAGTCAGGTGAAAAAAGGAAGCTTCGGAGTTTAGCTTTTGGCAAGGATTGAGGATTTTTAGCATTCTTAATAGGCTTAGCTGACCTGCGGTGGGCATGACTGATCATACACTCCACCGCAATTTTTTACCAGGGAGTCTCTAATCTCAGCTTTGTCCCGTCTAAATCGTAGCTATTATTCACACTGGACTGCTTCTTGCTCTCTCTGATGGGATTTCTTGTAGCAAAAATAATCTAATGCAAAAGCAGCAGCTTTATATCACTCTTGGGGAAAGCATGCATGCTCTGTTTTAATCTTCCACAATGGGCCTACAAGTCTGGGTTTTATACTGCTGACAAAAATACCATTCAAGGTTAAGATAAGACATGACTGTGTGGGCTTTAATAAAAATGATTTAGAGAGACTACTTTGGTGCAAGAGGCCAAAATAAGTAACAGCCAGTTGACAAGATAAGTCATTTTTTGTGCTTGCTCTCATCAAAATGCATCTACATGATAACTCAAAACGTGATAGTTCCATGAGAGAAAAGCTTTAGCTTCCCATGCTTCTTATTCGCTTATATTCCTCCCCCTGGTTTATACTAAAGGACACTGTTTCTATTTTAACTTTGTGCATCATACTTATCACACAACAATTCCAATTGTTATTATTTCTTGTAGAGTCTTTCTAACGTGCACAGAGGGATGCTTCCTGTTGCTAAGTTCAGCTCATGTTTCTATTGTCTCTTGTGCATTGGCTCGAAGGGAATAGTGCGAGCAAAGATAAAAGACAACAACAAGAGGAGCTTTGTGCCGCTTTATAATTTGCCACACTGGAATGTGTGGGCTGCAATTATGCTAAGTGGCCATCACGAAATGCTTATAATAACGGCTAACATTTTATAATGCATTTAATAACAAGATTATTGTTATGATTGATTCTCAAATTCAAAGTTCATTATTCTTTATTGGTTTAAAGAACTTAATGTATGAAGTAGATTTAGACCATAGTCTTTCACAGTGATGTGCTGCTTCTTGGTAACACTTACAAAGTTTTAAGGATGCATTATTTGTCAAACTATTGGATGTAGCCGCACCCCTGTCCTGGTGACACACTAGACAACAAACTAAACAGACCGTCGGATGTGACCCTGGATGATCTGGTGCACCAGCGTGGCCATTGTCGGCTACAAGGCCAATTTCCTAATGCTTGTTTGTTCTGTGACAGACACCAGAGTGAGTAATATCTTCACGAGTTCGGACACAACCTTCAATAATCGCTTGAAATATATATATTCTTAGGAAAAAAAGCAGAAGCGTTGTCAGTTTTAACATGAGTGATGTGTCTGGCCGGTATTACTCAGCCTATAGTCAGAAATCAAATGACTTGATAGTAATATGGCCTCCAGCGCTTTTTCCGTGTGAGTGTCTTTTCACTGGCGACTGAAGGGGTTGATGGGTTTGATTGTAATGAGGTGTGACTACGGGTCTGCGTTTCCTGCTTGCTAAACTGTTGGAATGCTCTCTCTTTGTCTGGATCGGACCGTCCACAGTATTCCAGCCAATGGATGAGAGCAGAGGGCTCGGAAGTTACAATAGTGATGATGTAATCCCTTTTCAGCACACTGTCACAGAGTAAATGCGTGCAGACAAAAGAAAATTCCCCCTCTTTTTCACCCCACCTGCCACAAAGTTCGGGGAATTTTTACATCGCCGAAATATGCACGGCAGCTCGGACACTGTAATTATCCATGCCGGGGATTCTGGGGGCTCCTGAGGGAGTTCAGTAGTGAAACAGGTGTAAAGTGTTGCTATTAACTCTGACTCGACTTAACCTGATTGATAATTGGGTCTCCTAACTAAACTAAAGCAACCTCTTTGTGACTCGATCCCGTCCCGCTGCTTCCAATTCTCAACCCAAAACCCAAACCCACAGTCATGCAGACATCAGACACTGTGTAATTCCCCTTTTCTGCTCCAATCAAACCTTAAACGTACCCAAAATAGTCAGACATGGCGTAGAGATCAGAAGATGAAGAAGAAAAAATTTAAAGTTTGACAAACAAGAAAAACTTTCCATAAGGAAATGTGGAATTCTAATGATGTCGATATGATGCCGCAGGCTATCCCCACTGCCACACGGAGATGACGTGCACGGCATTTGTCTGGACATGTCTGCACTGTTGCTACACTGTCTTTGTGCACACTCTCCCTGGAACAGATTACTGAACTCTGCTCGGAGAAGAATCAAAACATCCAGCAGAGTTTCAGGCCCGTGCCCCATGCAGAGTCTATGTGGG